TTGGGGTGTGGTGCAGCCAGGAGCAGAGAGGAAAAAGGGAGGGATCAATCCCTATCCTGGGCTTGCCTTGAGACTGATCCAGAGATTGAGTGGCTTGGGAAAAGCAAGATATTTTCAGGGGAGGGAGAACAACCAGAGCTCAACATAGACCCTGGCGGCTAGGAGGCAATGGGGGCAGAGAGAAGAAGTGACAGAAGAGGAGGGTGAGAATCAGCCAGCTGAACAAGAGAGGGCTCTGTACCAAGCAGTGTTCAAGAAATGGCAGCTCTCCCACTCCCTGTGAGGACGGGTGTGTACATCTGTGAGGAGGGTGCAGGAAGTAGGTCTCCTAAAGACAGATAGGAGGCATGGGGCAGGGCAGAAATGACTGTAGATAGGAGAGAGGGTTGCTACCCTCAGTGGGATGTCCCAGTTGGCATTACCCTTGGCCTCAGGTGAGGAGTCTTGCTCCCTGACCCTTCAGTTTACTTTTCTGGGTGTTGACTCTGGTTGTGCCTGGTAGATCACCAAGGCCCACACCCTGGCACACACTCCTTTCCAGAGCCCTGGGATATCAGCATAGAATCATGACTAGAAGCTCAAGTTGTTCAACTGGATGACCCAGGTTTGAATCTTGACTTTTCCACTTTCAGGCTGTGAGTCTTTGGTATGTTACTTCACCTCTCTCAGAGTGTTTCAGAGTGCAAGAGAGCCAAGGAGAGGTCAAAGAAAAAGGGCCACAGAAATAGAAAGGAGGCATGTTCCTTTTTGTGTATGTGTGTGGATGACAGTGAAAATGAGGAAATGTGAGGGCTAGATTCTAAATTGCACAATGGTAACAAGGCCCCACACCTGCCACTGGTAATGAATGAATGGATAGGTGAGAGAGAATGAAGGTTATACATGTACTCTTGTACATGTGTGAGAATACAAGAGGAGTATTTTTTTAAGTGTGTGTGTAGCAAGCACACAAAGCATGTGTGAACAGGCAAGAACATGTGTGACCAGGAATGAGAGTGTCTCTGTGGGAGGCTCTAAGAAAGAATAAGAGTTTCCACTTAGTAAGCAGCACAGGGGGCTAGGCATGACGCTAAGCCTTTTATGTGCATAATCTCATTCACCCCCTACCATGGCTCTGGAACACAGGGGTGATTTCCAGGTTCCAGACAAGTGACTAAGGCACACAAAGGTGGAGTGACTTGCCCAAAGAGACACGCCTGCTAAGCAGTGAAGTCAATGATTCTGAAGTCCGATACCTCCCAGCCTCCCTGAGAGGCTGAGCTCAGAAGGAGCTGCTCCATAGCTCTCCAGGGGCTGCAGAGGGGCTCAAGGTTCCCTATAACTGCCAAATGTTCATTTGCATCTCTGGGCCCAGAGACTGCACAGATGGATTTCAGTGCCTGGCACTCCTTAAGGACAGAGCTTGGTGGATTTCCTCTGTGGGTCGCTAGAGCTGTCTCAACTCAAAGGTGAGCACAGAGGCAGTGCTCAGAAAATGCTGGTGAGGCTGGCTCCATGGCACAGTGGCAATTCACTTCTCAAGAGAAGCCAGATCCCACATGATGACTTCAGTTTGAATTCTTCGCCCCGTCAGCCTGAAACATGCCAAACATGTGAATGATTGTCCAAGATCTGATGCACTAGGGGACTGGACAAAGAGGATTGCAGTATAGCCAGACCCTGTGGAGGGTGCTCACCTCTCTCTCTCTCTCTCTCTCTCTCTCTCACACACACACACACACACACACACACACACACACATGCACATGCACGTGATTCATCAAGAATAAAGAGAAAGGGACCAGCAGTTAGCGTGATGGTTATTTCTCTGGACTTCCATATAGTCAACTGTGGTTTGAGTCCCAGACCCAGTGACTTAAACTCACGCTGGTCGTGTGTGCGTATGTGCCCAAGATCCCAAGAGTAGAATGGAGGAGAAGGGATTGCGATGTGGCCATCCCCCCAGGGGGTGATTTTTCGCTTTCTGTCTATCTCTCTCTGTCTTTCTGGCGAGCATATGTGAGGTTTTTCCCTATAGGAAACACCTATAGGGAAAAACCTCTACAAAAAAAAAAATTTAAAAAAAGAATAAAGAGAAAGAAAGAACATTTAAAAGGAGAGAAAGTACTGGTGGGCTTGAATCCTTAAGGCTGTGTATGGTGACACAGTGACCTGGGAGGCTTGAAGGTGACAGCTAGTGGAATAGGGACAGCTTGGATAAGGGAGGCCCCATCCCCCACAGCTTCTGACTTCCTCTGAGGTTCTCCTTTAGAGTAATTTTTCCCTACCTCAGGGGCCTGAATCACTACATTGGAGGCCCTGCCAGGGTGGGGCAGGAGGTGGGAACGTGGAGTCACTGGCTCTGACTATGGTGGGGAGTCAGCCCAGCCCTGTTACTGAGGTCCCTGGTATTGGGGTGGGCAAGTTGAGACAGAAAGACTGCGCCGTGACCGGGGAGGTGGGGGGCCAGTGTGTAGAACAGGTCTGGACATAGAGAGCCTTCTCTTCATTTCCTCTCCCACCCTCCCCACCCAGGATTAGGTGTTGGCACACTTGGGAATTGCTTCTGTCTTTCCAACTTTCCCAACCCTGGCAGTATAGCTTCATCTTCCCTTCCTTCACCTCGTCTGGGGCTCTCCTCCTAAGAGGCGCCAAGCAAGTTGATTGTGGAGAGAAAGAATCTGAGGATCATTCTGAGTGCTCTTGGCTGAGAAGAACTTTGGGCTATGGCAAGGAACATAGATGAATTTTCCTAGTCCTAGTAACCTCTTGAGTTACTGTGGGTAAGGGGTGTCCTGGCCATTTCAAAGGCTGCTGATTTTCTGATATGAAGCATATATGTATGTATGTGTATGTATATATATATATATATCTTCCGAGAGAGAGAAGCACCCCCATTAAGGTTCTGATGCTATGGTCTGCCCCTCCCCGCTGCCAGCTCAGATCATGGAAGCACTGCACCTAGCATCCTTAGAAAGGCCTTGGGATGCAAATCCAAGACTCCCCATGTGGGATGAGTTGCGTTACCACTGCATCACTGCCTGGTCCATGAACTAGGTTTTCACTTGGAATCAACTACATAATCGAAAAGCAAGAAGTGGCTGGAAATGTGACAAACCAGCATGGTGCAGGAGAGTAGGCACAGGTTTTAGAAAGAGGTACACAAGGATTCAAATACTGCTTCTGTGGCTGATCATTTTGGTGATCTCAGGTAAGTCGCTTCTTCTCCCTAGGCCTTAGTGTGCCCCTTATGTAAAATGGGAATAGTGTATCTCATCTCAAAGGGCTATAAGAGTTGAAGTATTCACATTGTTCTTGACACATAGCAGGGACTCCGTGAACAGAAGGCTGCTTTCTCTAGTTAAGTGTTGATTCCTGGTTTGCACTTCAGGGATCTTAAACTCCCAGTTAGAAGACTGCTGGCCGGCCTGGTGGAGAAGAGCTACACCGAAGCGGGCAGAAGGGGAGCACTTCAAGGCCGTCGGCTGCGGAGGATGGGCGCTTGTGCTGTCTCCTTGCACGTTGTTCTTTTTATCTCTCTTTGCTGAAACGCCAAAGCCATGTCCAGCTCGGAGCCCAGAGACCCAGGACAGCTTCTTTTCTTCTCAACCTAACCCAAACCATCTTATTCTCAAGGCTCTGTCCCTGAAGTTGAGGGAGGCCCAGTTTCTCCCTTTTTATTTTCTCCAAAATAGAAGCCCACACCACAACCAGAGATCATTTGAAGATCCAATGAGACTCAGTGGTTCAGACTCCTATTAAGTGAGATAATGGATATGACAATGAATGTAAATGGTAAAGCACTTTGAGAATATTGCTAATTTTTATCGCCATAAAGTAGCAAGGAGACTTTAAGTCTTTGGCAGTCCAAAACCAACATCAAATACAGATATTCCTCTTATTTCTATCTCTTCCACTTCATACCGAGCGCGACTCTTGCCAAGGCCACGCCTGACTTGATATTTTGATCAAGCGCATATGACATAAAATGTGCCACTTTCTGGATGGAGTTCTTATTTCGTCCCAGGCAGCTGCAGAGGTATGAAAGACCAGCAGGGGGAGACATCAGCACGTGGGTACATCTGCTGGGGTCCGACTAAGAAGAGTGGGTCGGACCCAGAGAGTCTGAGCCATGGGATTGAGCCAAATTATAAGCAAAAAGAGGCAAGGAGGGGCGGGGAGTAAGGGCTAGGGCTGGGAGACAAAGACCCAGATGGCTAGGTTTGAGTCAGGTATCTTTGGGCCAGTATGCCCGCTTTTGCTATTTCAAAAACTGCCCTGCGCCTGTTCCTCTTTGCCATGGGAACGTCTTTCTATCTTAAGTGCCCACTCATCCCCCATGTCTCTCCCAGAACCTTGCTCGCGCCTTTAGACAGGAGAAGACTCTGGGCTCACAGTGGTCCCAAGGGGCTTCTCCTGAAAGCTGAGATTCTGAAGGCCTGGTGCCCAGGAGTGAAGAACTCACCCTCCCATCTGGGTCCTGTACTTGACCCTCCTCCAAACGCCCACCGCTAGCCACTTTCATGTGCAAGTGAACAGAGCATTTTGGGAGCGGAAGGAGAGTCCATCAGAGTCCTAAGTAAGACGGTATGGGGAGCAAGACAGGCTGTCCTTCCCATGGAGGTGGGCGCAGAGCAGGATTTCGGGGCTCCCGTGTGTAAAAAGAGAATAGTATTGTCCTGGGGTACTTAGGACAGGGCATGTCCGGGCCAGGTCAGTGGGCCTGGATATTGACCAGAGGCATGGGGAGAACAGCAAGCCAGCAGATCCTGGGAAGTGCCAGCTTCCCACCAGCTGAGCGCTGTGGGAACAGGACTAAACGGAACCCAACCCTAACCGCTAGAACTGCACATTCAGATTGGTGCCGTCCGCACTGAGGCGTCCTTAAGAGCGCCCTGAAGTCCCGCCCTCTTCCTGCTCTAGGGGCGTGGCATGAGGGCAAGGACCCCATTGTGGAGCTCGCTATTGGCTAAGAGGAGCAGAGTCGGCCTTGCGTTCGCCTGAACAGGAGAGTAGACAGCTCAGCAGCAGCGGAGGGAGTCTATGCGCGCTGGACAGCAGTGGGAGGTGTGTGAGGCTCGAACTGGCCACAGACCCCTGGGCTCAGTCGCCAAGGAGCAAGGACTCGGCGAAGGAACTGCCGGGTGACCCGGCTAAGGCTTCCGAGGTGCAAACTGATGGGACTGGCTCACTCTGCAGCGTCTCCCCGCTCTTCTAAGTATACCGAGCGGGGCCCATGCTGAAGTAGAAGCTGTCGGGGGAGGTCAGCCCGGAGTCCCAGTGTGGCCCGGAAGAACGGAGCCCGTATCAGGGCGACCCAGTCAGGAGCCCGGGGACCGACCTTGTGTTGTGGGGAGACCCGTACTTCTTCCCAGAGGCGTCAATCCCGAGACAGTCGAAGGGTCAAGGCGGCCACCGAGTCCTCCGCGGAGAGACCCCTTCGAGAAGCAGGCGCGCAGTCCCAAACCGTGTCCGGGAACCGAGCGGAATCAGGCAGGATCACTCAGGGGCGCAGAAACCCGGTCGCGCCTATTGCAGCAGAGAGGCCAGTGGAGCAAGCCCTCAGAAGCTGCAGCCCATGCGCGGGTTGGGGGCGACTTCCCAGTGAGTCCTCCTGGCCGGCCGGGAGGAGAAGAGCTACACCGAAGCCGGCAGAAGGAGAGCACTTCAAGGCCGGCGGCTGCGGAGGATGGGCGCCTGAGCGTCTGGGAACGCAGCGAGGCACAGCACGGCAAGGCGAGCTTTGCTAAGAAGACGCCAGGGGATCCCGAGTGCAGCCTGCCTCCCAGGAAGATGGCCCGGCCTGGGCAGCGTTGGCTCGGCAAGTGGCTTGTGGCGATGGTCGTGTTGGCGCTGTGCCGGCTCGCCACGCCGCTGGCCAAGAACCTGGAGCCCGTGTCTTGGAGCTCCCTCAACCCCAAGTGAGTAACTTATCTGCTCTGGTCCCTGGGGGTGGGAGGCACTCCTTCAGGGTGAGGCCATGCGCCCTGTGTGTCTTGTAGGGAGGTGTTCTTAGGAGGAGCGGCGCCCCATTTTGACTCTAGCTTTTTCGAGTGTATGTTCCTGCGGGCGGGCGAGGCGTGGTGGTGGTGGGGCACCTAGCTGGTTGTGACCCTTTCACTTCCCAGCCCTCGCCTCCGCACATCCGGACGGATCAAGTCGAGATGGTCTCACCAGGCAGAGCTGTGGACTCCTGGCGTTCGAGTGCACACACGAATACTGGGCGGGGGCAAGAACGCAGCTCCCTCTGAGGTCCCTGAGAATGTGAATTTCTCCTAGAGCCGCCCTCGGGGGCTAGGTTGACCTGAGTTGGGGACGAGGCCTGGCCACAGGTTCATCGTCTGCTTAGATGTTGGGAGAAACGGAGCGCGGGGCAGCGCGTTTGGGGCTGGTGGCATCTCCTGCATCTCTACTCCGGCTTCTCCCATTTTCATTTCTCTTTTTTCTGTTTGCCTCCCTGGCTTTTTCGCTTTGCCGTCTCATCTAGGCCCCTTTCTCCCTGCCGTGGCGGTAGAAAGGCGGGCGCTCTCCCAGGCTCACAAAGCCAGCGGTGGAAAGGGGAGGAGTGGGAGAGGGCTTGTTTGGGGGTGGGTGGGAGAGGGATTGTTTGGGAGGGGGTTTCGATCTAGTGCCTGTCCGGGGTTCATTGGAGCTGGCAGCTGAGCTTCTTCAAGAGCGTGCCAGGGCAGAATGTGGCAGCGGCAGCTGGTGAGGGAGGTGGGTGGGGAGCAAGGGATTCCTGTCCAGACAGGTCCCATTGACCCTACTCCCCCACACTCTCTGTCCCCCAGATTGGGGTTCTGTGTTTGGTATTTCCCAAGGGTTTGGGGACAGCTATGTAAAGGAGATCCTTTCTTTTCTTTATTCTTCTTCCCCTTCACATCCCCCTTCCACCCCTAAACAACACCCACAGGCACACACACCTTTCAGGGCGGTGGCTCATCGGTTTCTGGGCTGTTAGTGGGCAGTTCATGGGACTGTTGTGATGACCTCTAGACTATTTTTTTTTGACATGCAGGACTTGGGTTGGAACCCAGGGTCAAAAATCACTGTTACTCCCTGTTTTCTGGACGTCCCAGTTGTGTGCAGACAACCTCACTTAGCTGGAAACTCAGAGATCTTGAGCTGCCCAATCCATGCTCTCTGATTCCTATATTTCTTCCTGTACACTCCTGTTGAGCTTCCTGCTAACTTCCCAGGCTCTTGCCTGCCTTGGCCTCTTGGGTCCTAGGGGCAGTGAATCTCTCCACCCTGGAGTGGGAGAAGGCAGCTTCCGTAGTTCTCTTTGGGTTAAAGTTGGGTCTTATAACTGGTAGGGAGGTTAGCTAAATCAGGGTCAAGGTTGGAGAGCTTTGCCTTGTACAAGGAAAGGGATTGGCAAGAATTTCTCCTGTACCCAGAAGTCAAACTGAGTGCATTGCTCTCCTATCAGCAGGTGCTCAAAATGGTGTAGGGGCTTTTGGCTGCTGAGTCCCTCTGAGTGAGGGGGGAGGTTGTGAAGGGTCCAGTTCTCCCCTGTTAAGGGTGAAGGCTGGAAATGCTCTCTCTTGAGGCAGGGGAGGTTAAATCTGCATAGGGTAGCCCATCACAGGGGCTCATGGGAGTGACCTAATTGCTCTCTCGGGTCTCTACACAGAGATAGCAAGCGTTCCACAGCTGGAAAGGAGCCCTCCTACAGAGTTAGGGGGCTGGGAGAAGAAAAAAGATGTGTCTGTACTTATCCCTTTTTGTGTTCTTAGTCTTTAGTGCCCTGGTCTAGTTTACAGGTTTCAAAAGGTTGTATCCCCTCTGTTCCCCACTCCCCATCCACCTACAGCTGAGAGCAGCATCCTGGAGAGTGGGGAAATAGCCAAGGTCTCAGTAGAACCTGCCTGAATTCCATCTTGTAAGAAAGCAGATCCTAGGAACGGTTGGGGGCTGATCCCCGTGTACCCCCTCCCCAAAGTTCCTTCTCTCAGCTCAGTGGCCTAGAATGCAGCCTCCATCTCTGTGTTGACATGGGGTGGTGGGGAGATGGGAGGATAAGAGGGAGGCACTGCCCTGAACTCCACTCAAGCTCTGGGGGCCCCTCTGTCACCTTGCCCAAGCCCCAGGTGGCCACAGCCTGTCAAATAAACAGTCTCCCTATTTGCCTCTTACTGAATTTTCTCCCCCCTCCCCCCAGCCATGTTGGATCACCCTCTCACAGCCTCCATGAGCAGTGTTCATCTCCCTTCTCCAGTTAGGCTTGCCTGCTCTCCCTCTTCTCACACTCCCTCTCACTCTTAGTCACTCTTTTCTCAAGTCCTTTTGTTTCTCGCACATGCCTGTGCTCTCCTTCCATGCTCTCCTTCGCGTGCTCATTTTCTCTCCCCTTCCTCTCCCGACTTTTGGTTTCTCTCTCTTCAGCTCTGTCAGAAGCTGGCAAACCACCCTCCCCCCCAAAAAATCTTCCAACGCCTACAAACCTTGCTTTATTGCTTCCTCCTTGGGAAAAATTCAAAATAAAGAAGTAGTGGAACTAGGGGTTTGTTTCCAGCTTCCAGGGTACGTGCAGTCCCAGCCTCTTTCCCAAATTGGTACCAGGGCTTTCTGGGGTGGTAGTCTTTGGGTGGCAAGAGCTTCTGCCTCCTCAGCCCCTCCTGTCAGATTTTCCTCCTAAGCACAGAGTAAGAAGGCAGGTTTGGTCTTACTAGAGTTTGGTTGGACCTACAGTGTATCTGTGTGCCTGGGTGGGGGGCTATGGTCTACATGGTCCCAGGCAGCTCCTTCCTCCAGCCTCTTCCCCCAAGAAACCTGGGGCAGCCGGTAGGCCTCACACTTGAGTCCTCAACCAAGTCCAGCTGCTACAGTTCAGTTTCAGTCCGGTTCTGACCCCTTCCTGCCCCCCACTCAGGTTCCCCCACCTCCAGAGAGTGGGAATGTGCCTGAGATCATGTTACAGACTTTCCCTA